AGGTATAATTTATATAGGAGTGAGGGATCCCCTTGACAACGTCTACTGAGATGAAACATATCCACGCCTGTCTGGAACCGGCACCTGTGGCATTTATGATTTTACATGCTCATTTGTCTTTGAATTTTGTAAGTGGTTTTTAATTAATTATAATAAATCATGTGTCCATTATCACACTATGTGGAGTATTATCCTTTTGACTGAGCACACAATGGATCATAATAAGGGAGGAAGAGAGGAGGAGAGATACTGAAGTCTGTGACACCTCTTTTCCATCTCGGATGTTACAAGCAAGCAGGGGTGGACTGACATCTTATGGGGCCCCAGGGCAATAGGGGATCATGGGGCCCCTGTGTCCTTGCCCAAACTGAAAAAAGCCTATGAAAAAGGTACCAGGGGCATCTCATGGGACCCCCTACTGACCCCGGGCCCTCGGGCAGCGCCCGAGTTTCCAAATGGTCAGTCCGCGCCCCTGCAAGCAACATATGTTCAGCATCACGCTCTGTTAGACTACCTATAATCTGGGGTCTAACTATTCAGTAAGGAGCAGTGTGTTTTTTGTGATGGTGAGCACCAGAGTCTTTTATTTCACTATACACATGGACAGGGGTGGACTGACCATTTGGAAACTCGGGCACTGCCCGAGGGCCCGGGGTCAGTAGGGGGCCCCATGACATGCCCCTAGTACCTTTTTCATAGGCTTTTTTGAGTTTGGGCAAGGACACAGGGGTCCCATGATCCCCTATTGCCCAGGGGCCCCATGAGTTGTCAGTCCGCCCCTGCACATGGAGGATCATTGTGGAAACAGCTGTTCATCATAATCAGGATTTTGTCATCAAAAGATTTTTTCATTGTTTGGTGTTTCATGCATTTTGACTTAATATTATTATTGGTAGGAGCACATTTAAAGTATAACTGGCACACTATTAGTATTTTTTTTTATCAATAGTGCAACAATAACTGGATATCAAGTGTTTACAACCACTTAAAGTGATTTTTTTCACTTTAATGAGAAAAAAAAACACCTTGTAGAAGAAATAGTCAAATCAGTTCCACTGCCAATTACTTCTATTTTTGTTCTTTTGCAAAGCATAACCAGCCAGAAAATATTTAGAATCAAAACTTTTGAGTGTGTTAGATGCATATGTCCTCAGCTGCATGCACTGGTTTTATCCATTGGCCGGTATGGCACTACAACTCTGCAGGGATAAGTGACATGGTGACCAGCAGAAGCAGGATTTGTGATCTTTATAGATATGATAGCCTTATAAAAATGCAATGAAAATGGTATATCACTCTTTGCTTTCAAAGATCTGTATGATCCTTTCAAACCTACCTGATGCAGTTGCTATTGGTCCTAAGACAGGAGGGGGCCCCTTTTCCAAAAGTATAAAGTGTGAAGCTTCCAGTAAAGCCCAAGTCTGGGAAATCTGAAAATTGTCCTCTGCAGTGGGGTTGAACTCACACTAAATGGGTGAACTGCTTGTTTGGGTCTAGGAAGGTAAAAGCACTTTTACTTACCTGATCCTTCAATCCACGGGCAGATGGCTCTCAACCACATCTGGTGGTGGACTGTCCCTTGGCATCGTCTCGTACAATACAGAACTATTGACTCTACATCAGTCTTGATGATGTTAGGACCGTAGATGCAGGCGCAGTCCCACTGTAAGGAAGACATTTCAATTTTCTGGAATTGGGCTTCAAAGAACATGTAAACCCAACATTTCCTATTCCTGGTATGTGCTTGCTTTACCATGTACTTGTATGAAAAATTATCCTGTTGTCTTTGTATTGCTTCCTTTGTGTGAAATCCCTGGTGTTTCTGCCAGTCCCTCTTCTTTCCTATTAAAAACTGACTACGCTAGACATGAGAGCAAAGAGTGGTCAGTTTTCTGGCTGTGCTGTGAACTCAGCATGCTCTCTTCCAATGGTCAGACTTCTGTTGATATGCCTCCCCACCCCCACAACACACACAGTCATTCACTGGGAAGATCTACTTATGTAGCTGAAAACAGAGGGTATGTGGTCATTTATAAGCAAGGGGTATAAAAGGTATTTATAATGTTTTTTTTTTTATATGCATATGCCCATTAAACTAAATGAGTAGATTTACAAGGTGAGGGTTCACACCTACTTTAAGTCAGACCTCAGGATTGTCACTAGTAAGAAATCTCCCTCTGTGCAGTACAAAGCATTTGCTTATCTGTGTTACCAGTGAAGAAGTATTGCCCTCTGATCTTCTGATTCGACTGAAATAGCCCTGTATGCCTAATGTAGTCAAAATCCCAGAGTTTCCCCTCAGCTAAAACCTTATAGGACAGTTGAGGTTGGTATTTTCATTAAAAAAAGAAGTTTAAGCCCTGGTTCACGCTGGATCCAACTTCACTCAAAGTCACATTTCAATGCTGCATGTCAGGTGCAACTTCATTCGCAGATGTGTATGCAAGTTGCACCTCAAATCGCAAAAAATAGTGCAGGAACCTTTTTTTCAAATCAGTGCCGAATCAGAACAGATTTGAACGGTTCCATTGTCAACAATAGGGTGCGACTTGTCATTCGATTTGAAACTGTCAAATCTCATGACAAGTCGCACCGATGTAAACCAGGGCTACAGAAGTTCAATTTTAAAGTTGTTTGTATTAAGGTCTTTAGGGTTAATATTATTTTATGAATATTGGAACTAAAGCTACTGTATAACCAGGTCCCCACTGCCCTATAGCAGGTGTACTGCTACTGGGTGGCCTCTCTGTGTATAATCACATATACAGGTGAAACTCAAAAAATTAGAATATTGTGCAAAAGTTCATTTATTTCAGTAATGCAACTTAAAAGGTGAAACTAATATATGAGATAGACTCATTACATGCAAAGCAAGATAGTTCAAGCCGTGATTTGTCATAATTGTGATGATTATGGCTTACAGCTCATGAAAACCCCAAATCAGAAATCTCAGAAAATTAGAATATTAATTTTAAATAAGAACAAGTGTCTGGAGAGGTGGAGTGGTCAGGCAGGCCGGGTCAGGAACAATCGGGCAGACAAGGTACAACAGGAGCAGGGAGGAGAATGGTCAGGAGTAGCCGGGGTCGGTGCAGGCAGAGTTCTAGCAGAATCCAGATCAGGCAGGAATATCAGACAGGATGCAGGTACAGGGGCTCATGGGAACAAACACCAAGGCACTGATTGCAGGCCTGGTCCTGCTTAAATAGACCTCCTGCAATCAGCCTCAGATGATGGCTTGATTGCAGGAGTGAGACCCTGGCTGAAAGCACCCGCTGGTAGGAGCTGGTACTGCAGCCCACAGAGCAAGTGAGCCACAGCACCACCAGTGGTGAGTCCATTCCTGACAGCTGCCTATGCCCTCTCATCAGCGATGTGGTGGATTTTGTTTTCCTGCTAAGCAGGGAATAAAATCCAGCACACTACCAAATAAAAACACCTTGCAGTACATACACTAAGCACTGTTAGGCACACATTTAACCCATTGATTGCCCTAGATGTTTAACCCCTTCCCAGCCAGTGTCATTAATACAGTGACAATGTATATTTTTAGCACTGATCACTGTATTAGTGTCACTGGTTCCCACAAAGTGTCAGATTGTCAACCGCAAAATCTCAGTCCTGCTATAAGTCACTGATTGCCACTATAACTTTCAATATCCACTTATTGGGTTTTTTTTTTTACTACAGATATGTAGCAGAATAAATATTGGCCCAAATTTATGAAGAAATACATTTTTTTTAATTTTTTCAAAATTGTTGGTCTTTTTTTCGTTTATAGCTCAACAAATAAAAAAACAGTGGTGATCAAATACCACCAAAAGAAAGCTTTATTTGTGGGGGAAAAAAAGCCATAAATGTAATTTATGTAAAGTGTTGCATGACCATGCACTTGTCAGTTAAAGTAATGGCCTGGTCATCGGGGGGGGGGGGGGGGGGGGGTTGGGGGTAGATCTTCTAGAGGTCAAATGGATAACCAAAGCACAAGTCCCTAGCAGAGCACTGAGCTGGGGGGCCCATCAAAATTTTCCTGTGGGGTCCCATGATTCCTAATTATGTCCCTGGGTAGAGAATGTTCAGTTACTGAATAAGCTAAGAGTTTCTTTAATCCATACAATCAATACAAGCAGAAAAATGTTTTTTTTTTTTGCCTTTCACATAATTTTGGTAAAAGTGAATGTTTTCACTTAATTGCTTGACCTTCAGAAGGTTTTACTCCTTTCATGAGGGCTTTTTTGCTATTCAGCACTGTGCTACTTTAACTTGGAAATGCTCAGTCATGGAAAGGTCACGGCATTGTGCTGCTACACCTCTTAGGGGGAATGCTATTGGCACTACCACTACATCGCCCTGACTGGCTGTGCCGCCCACCCACAGTTAAGGTACTGTGAGCGGGAGGCAAGAGGTTAATCTAAAACTGTATGGTTTGCTAAGTGAACAATAGTTACAGTATATAAGCTCATTAAAATTATTCCTATGAAGCAGTGCTGATAAGAAAGCAAAGCAAAGATACTTACAGAAAATATCATCTATTTTTAGAAACAATTTATTCAGTTCTGAAGGTAAAATGTTGCAATGGTTAATTTTGAGATTTGTTTTTTTTATTTAATCCTCTTTTATCCTTTCTCTAAACAGTGATTACAAAATAAGATAAAAATTTATTTCTGGTATGAGCCAATTTAAATTAAGATATCGCATTGTGTTTTTTTACGTATGGAGGAAAATAAATTTAATCTCCAAACATGGAAAGGTTTCTTCACAGTGAGAGCTATGAAAATGTGGAATAGACTCCCTCAAGAGTTGGTTGTGGCCAACTCAGTGAATTGCTTTAACCGCCTCCCACCTGCCATATAAGGTAATGATGGGCGCAAGGTGGTTTGCCTGTTCTGGGAGGACGTCATATGACGTCCTCCCACTCTAACCACGCATACGCGGCTCCAGGAGCACGCAGCATGGCGATCGGCGGTGTGCTGTCTCCCTCGGACACAGCGGATCACCGATCAACGGAAAGAGCCAAAGATGTCAGCTCGGTCATGTGATCAGCTGTGTCTAATCATAGCTGATCACATGTAAATAGGGAAATGCCGGTTATCGGCATTTCTCACCTCACGAGCTGTCATGCTGACTGCTCGAGAGGAGAGGAGAGCCGGTAATAGGCATTCCTCAGAGGGTACATGGGCACTGATCATCAGGGCACTGATGATCAGTGTGCCCTGATGATCAGTGTGGCCCCAGAAGTGCCACCTGTCAGTGCCCATCATAACCAGCTGTCAGTGCTCATTAATGCCACCTGCCAGTGCCCATCAGTGCCTCATCAATGCCACATATCAGTGCCTACCAGTGCACATCAATGCCACATATCAGTGCCCATCTGAGCTGTCTTTCAGTGTCACCTATCAGTGCCAGTCAGTGCCACCTATCAATGCCAGTCAGTGCCACCTATCAGTGTGCACCAGTGCCGCCTATAAGTGCCCTTCAGTGTCGCCTAACAGTGCCAGTCAGTGCCACCTATCAGTGCCAGTCAGTGCCCCCTATCAGTGCCGCCTTTCAGTGCCCATCAGTGAAGCCTGTCAATGCCCATCAGTGGAACCTACTAGTCCCTCCCTTCTTTTCTTCCTTCCTCCCTCCATCCATTTCCTCCTCTCTCTTCCTTTCTCCATTTTTTCTTTCTTTGCTTCCTCCATCCATTCCCTCCCCAACCTTCCTTCTTTCCTCCCTCTCCTTCCTTCCTTCCTTCCTCCATCCTCTCCCTCCTTCCCCTCCTTTTCTTCCTTCCTCCATCCATTTCCTTCCTCCCTCACCTTCTTCCTTTCTCCATTCATTCCCCTCTGACACTGTCCACTGCCCCCATACCATCATTGCGAAAAAAAAAAAAATGATTTCTCTCTTTCTTCCTTCTTCCATCCATCCATTCCCTCCCCTTCCTTCATTTCACCCTTCTTCCATCCTTTCCTCCCCCCTCCCTCCTTCCTTCCTCCATCCATTTCCTCCTTCCCTTTTCTTCCTTCCTTCCTTTTTTCCTTCCTCTCCTTCTTCCGTCCTTCCTTTTTTCCTTCCTCGCTATCTTTCTTTCTAGTAAAATGAGAAAACTGATGATGTGCCATTTTTGGCACAAGAATAGATCAAGGATAGATAAAAGTAATTTCCAGAATACTCAGTTAAACTTTTTAAACCCCACTATTAAAAAAAAACAACCCATAAAATCAATCCCTTTTATGAAAACTCTCAAGTAACCCACTCCCTGGAATTGATCAGAAATGTATCCACTCTGGAAAGAAGAATAAAAAAAATATTGTTTTACTTGTAGAGTGAGGGAAGGTTAAAATTTCTGGCAGGTTGTTTTTTCTCACCAGGGCCTTTCTGTCCTGATGACTCTCATTATCCATGAGTGACACAGGCACAAACAGTGAAGGCAGAGCTCCTCAATTGAAAAAAAACAGCAATAAAATACTGCCAGGATGTCTTTTTATTATTCATTTCATACAAAACAAAAAAAAGCTGAGGCTGGAGTTAACTTTAAATCTGACTGGTCGCTATGAGTTACAGAACGTTAAACCAGTATATCTGTCAGTGTATCTGACATATATCCTACACAAATAATATGGATACAACCAAGTAAAAGAACATGATGGCATTGTTATATCTATATGATCATTAATAATTAAAAAAAGAAAAACAATCACATGCAAATGTTAACAAACAAGGATATATTAAAAAAATATTTTGATGAGAAGTCCTTTAAAAAGTAGATTGGTGTAGAAATCTAATCTAGGTACAGCACTTACAAGGAAAAGCATACACCCTCTTATATGCTTATACTTATGTTTTAGAAAACTCACTAGGGAAGATTCACTAAAACTCGTTCACATAGAAATCCTGTGCAGCTGTGCATAGTAACCAATCAGTTTTTAACTTCAGCTTGTTTAATTAGGCTCCATTCAAACGTAGGCGTTTCAAATTGTGGGCAGAATCGAATCACCGCAATTCTGCCTGCAATTTGAATATGCGATATGAAAATGTTAAAACACGCATTCGCGAGTTCAGATGCCATTCATTTAAATAGCACCTGAAAAAGTGGAGCGCATGACAGCCCAAAAATTTTCCGGAACCTCTTTTGGGCATTGCGTGTCCCACAATTTTGTTTTTGAATTTTAACAGTGCCTTTCAAATCGTGGGCAGATTTGCTGTGATTCCGCCAGATATTTGAAACTCCTATGTGCAAATGGAGCTTTTACAATAAAACCCAGAATCTGATTGGTTACTATGCACAGCTTCACCAAATTCTGTATGCACCAGTTTTAGCAAATATTCCCCACTGACACTTGGGAGGTTAATGAAATTAACACTTCCCCTGATCCAATAATCCCTTTTTAGTTGACTTCATTTTTAAATTGCAGTTTGGCAGGAAATTCTAAATGTTACAAAATGGAAAATTATGAAGTGTTCTCTAAAAGTACTTATACTGCAAAAATAGAAATGTAAACATACTAGGCATTCTTTTCATTTGCATTAGCTAGAAAAGGCACCATCTTGCTTGGTTCTGCCCAAGCCAATATAAAACTATAGTACACAAGAGGCCACTGGATTCAAGGAAGTTGTAGTATACGTAGAGTTTTTTTTTTTTTTTTTTTTTGCAGCAGTGTTTGTGGAATTTTTCATGAAGAACAGCAATAATGTCACTACATCCAACCCTTTACAAAGGAATTTAAAAAAGGTTTCATTTAAATCATTATGCAATTAAAATCTGATTCTATATGTACATGTACAATATTTCACAAGTGTACAGGTGAAGAAAAATCAATAGAATTTTGGCCCTTACAATATATGTACATTGGTACTGTTCTATGATATTTAATTATTTTGTGTTTCAACTATAATAGAGTAAAGAAGAGATGCTGTCATTATTAAAAAAAAAGAAAAAACAAAGAAAAGAAAAACAGTTGCAGGTATAGAAAATAGGCACCTCTACAGAAGGAGCTAAGCAAGGCTCTGGTGTATCCTAGTAGTGCTGAAGCTTGCCTGCCCTTTCCTTTTTTATAGGTAAAAATAATGTTTGCCATGTGGATCAGTGGCAAGTGCAGCTGAGATATTCATAGAGCAAGCTTTCAATTTGCCTATTTAATGCATTTAAAGTGATACTAGATCTTCATTTTTTTATTAAAATAAAAAAAAATGTTACACTTATCTGCTCTGTGCAAGGATATTGCACAGAGCAGTGGCACACCTCCTCCTCTTTCCTGCAGGTCCCCCCCCAAGCAAGCCATGTTCTGTGTGAGCATGCTTCCATGACAGCAGGGGCCTATTCCCCCCATTACTCTCAGAGTCTTCTGTGAGACTAGGAAGAAGGAGCAGCAAGGCTGCACACAGGACAGTGCTGGGTAGTGAGAGGACTCAGCTAAGTGTTTGGGGAAGGAGGGGGGGGGGGGGCATAACAAGTGGTGGGACATTTTTTACCTTAATGCAGGGAATGCAATAAGGTAAAAAAATGTTTTACTTTAGAACCATTTTAATAATTGGCTGACTTTAAAAACAGAATCAGTGGTGTTCAATACAGTTGACAATTAATAGAACTTTGCTAGGTTTGTTTAACAGATTTGTAATTAAAATGATGATGTGCACAATGACATCTATTTAGTAATATTAGTGCAATAAATTGAAATCACCTGCCTGCTGGTTGGTTGCCTTCGGGTAACTGTGATCAGCACCTCATAATGGCTCTGCCTTAGGGCCAATTCACACCTAAGCATTTTATAGCTCAAAGCTCCAAAATGCTTACCATTCAAAATACAATGTATTTCAGTGGTGCCTGTTCACATATGAGCACTCTGACACCTAATGCTTCCAAAGCTACACATGCTCATTTTTAGCTTTTTCTATAAACTTGAATGGGAACACCTGAAAATGAACAAAGCTAGTGCTTCTGTGCATTTTCTCAGGCGTTTTGTAGCCTGGTATAACTGGTCTCCTCACGTAGTGCTTTTCATTGGCTAAAGCAAAAGTGCCTAACACTTGAATACACATGTAAAACACTTGAAATATGCTTCTAAATAGTGGCGGACTGACCATTTGGAAACTCGGGCACTGCCCGAGGGCCCGGGGTCAGTAGGGGGCCCCATGAGATGCCCCTGGTACCTTTTTCATAGACTTTTTTGAGTTTGGGCAAGGACACAGGGGCCCCATGATCCCCTATTGCCCGGGGGCCCCATGAATTGTCAGTCCGCCCCTGCTTCTAAAATATGCATGTGCGTAAAAACACTAAAGAAATACACCTGAGAATGCCTGAAAATTGCTCTGCTAAGATGGGAAATTCAGCATTACTAAATATGCATCAGCTAGGGCCAAATCTTTCATCATATGTATCGTACCAATGGATAAATTTAAGGTTGCAGTCTTCTTTGAATATGTACATACAAGATAGTACCGTTGCTGCTATGGGAATCAGTCTTTTTTTATAAAAGTTCATAAATAACAATTTGTAAAAAATTACTAGAATCAGATGAATATAAACATTCCAGGTCCTGTAGAAATAATAAAATAGTCTTTGCTGAAATCAAAATCACTAAGTAGCCAAAGCTACATGCAGCACTTTCCAGGCTAGGTGTTCCTTTTCACTAAGTTTAAGAAAAAGATTTGTTGTCATATCCAGCCATTCCTCCTTCAATTGTAGGAATTTCCAAATCCTTGGCACCTTTCTGGATTCTAGTTGTGCCTTGATATCTTCCAGTACGATGCTGCTCCAGAGCGGGACCCCAGTCTTCAGTTGGGGAGCATATCTTCCGAAAACGCTGGCGAGCAATAGAAGCAGAATATTATGAGTGGAAGAGAGAAGAAGGGAAGAGAGACAAGAGACAAAGAAGAGAAGGAGAAGAGAAAGAAAGAAAAAAGAAGAAGAGAAAGATAAAAGAAGAAGAAGAGAAAGAGAAAAGAAGGAGAAGTGACGGAGAAAAAGGGAGAATAAAAGAAGAGAAGAAAGAGAAACAAAAGAGAAAAGAATGAAAAGAAAATGAGAAAAGAAGGAGAAGAAAAAGAGAAAAGAAGGGGGAGAAAAGAAGGACAAAAAAGGAGAGGAGAGGAGACAGAGAGAAATGGATGAAAAGGGAAGGAAGAAGGGAGTCTTAGTTTCTGAAAGCTCAGCTGAAATTAGAATGGTCTTCTAAAAACATTGACTTGGGTACAAAAGAACTAACAAAGAAATGACTTACCTGCCAAAGAGATCCATGACCCCTGCATATCTTTACAATTGCTAATATAGGTATCCAAATGATGCAGAAAATGATCATACACCATCCCAAGATAACTCCCCAGGCAGGGTATTCAACATCACCATGCTTTGGAGTACTGAAAGTAACCAAGGACCATATTAAAATAGCCTGTGAAGTAAACAAGAAACACAAGTTTCCTTAGTATCCCTAGTATCATTTGAGTATGTTTATGCAATTATCACAAATGAGCACAGTTAAGTCTTGATATACTTCAAACATCCAAAAATGTGCAGGAGAAATTCTCTGGTAAGTGTACCTATAAAA